TTTACAATTGTTTACAATTTATCCGAAAGCGATCAGATAGATTGCGGGGGGCTGCGTGAACTTGGCCCCCCGAAATTTATTTTTGACTCGACGGCCGAGGGGGGTGTTTACAAATTCGGAGATTGGATTTACAATTATATACAATTAATTTACAATTGTTTGCAATAATTTTGAAAACTTTTGCACAAAGTCGGGGGGCCAACTTCATGTACGTGCTCACAACAGTCACAACACCCGTTATCCGTATTATGAGCCAAAAAAAGCCAATGATTTCAAAGTGGAAAACGTAGAAATCGAAAAACTCGTTTTCCCAATAGCGTTGATTTTATGAGATGTAATTCGCTATATTTAGGAGGGCAGTAGTCAATTTTTATAGCCGGTAGACTTCGTAGTGTGTATGTTACATTGTCATCATATTATAATAAAATAGTTATTTAGCCGCAGCAAATAGCCGTAGTCCGGGCTCGAAACCGTTAAAAACCTTGGTTTTCCGTGTTCAATACAGTAACCGGAATCAGAACTAAAAGCTTCAAATCCCACATTAAAAATCTATTACATAAATCTAAGAATTTAAAATACAATTCACAAAGTCTAGGAGTTTAAAAAAATAGTTTTCGAAACAAAAACCTATTAACAATTTATCTCATATCAGTCATATCCGTTTGTCCAAGTGTTTTTTATTTTGACTGATAACACTATTTACAATAATTCTAGTTAAAATAGTTAGTTTTATACGAATAAAGTAGATGACCTATATTTGAATATATTAATACAAATTAAAAATCCTGATGAAATTACAAAAAAATTATTTATTTATTATATTTGTGTTATTACTATTATTTTAACGAAATTACCACGGAGATTATTTATAAAATGCCTATACATTTAACTGTAGTTATTTTAGGTATTTGTCTGCATTATTAGGTACTTAAAATATTCTGTATTCGTCTGACCCGCAGACAGCAGTTTAATCACTAAATAATATAACCTCACTAAGCATTCTAATCAGTCTACAATTTTATCATTGTATACATAATGTGTTTTGTTAATAATAATTACTATGATATAATATTATATTATACTATACAGTTTAAGGCAATAAATCCATCAATAGATAATACAAATCTGGTCAATAGATATTTTACTGGTAACCAGGAATAATGTTTTTAAAAAACCAATTCTAAGCAGAACAATTTCAAAAACCATTCTTCAAACCTAAACGACAAAGAAAAAATATAGTTTAACAGTCAACGACCCCCCCCCCTCCCCATTATCAGAACCGAAACCGATTAAATTTGAAACGGTTTCGAGCCCTAGTCGTAGAACATTCTACATTACATCCGAGTTCGATTCGTACGTGTAACGTACCTATTACATCGATTATACGCTGTACAGGTAACTATTCGAGACTGGCTTGCGAGATCCAATTCGTGCGATCCATGGGCTACTATCTGATCCAAATCTACATACCCAGCGGACTGATCGTCATCATATCCTGGGTGAGCTTTTGGCTGAACCGGAATGCCACGCCGGCCAGAGTGGATTTGGGTGTCACCACCGTGCTGACCATGACCACGCTCATGTCATCCACCAACGCGGCGCTGCCGAAGATATCGTACGTGAAATCCATCGACGTGTACCTGGGAACGTGTTTCGTCATGGTGTTCGCCTCACTGTTAGGTAAGTATTTAAACATTTTATTTTTATTATTTTGTCATTCATAAGTAATATCGTTTTAATGACCATGGTCATTCCCGTTAAAAAATGAAATAGGTAGGTACTGTTACACTGTTAATTTTCCTCGAAAAAAAAAAACAAAACAAAACAAATCTAGACTATTTCTTCCGCTATCAAAATAAGAAATAATTGTCACCCTCTTATTAATTTAAATAGCTACTTATCATTTTCTGTCAAGAACATTATTCTATAAAAAGGTAAAAATCAAATAAGAAATGAACTGAAATTAAAAATCATTGTGATAAAATAAAGTAAAATATTAAGCTTCATAATAATTTAGAACCACAGTAAAAAAATAATAATATATTTTAAGTAAAAATATAATATTATTTCAAATATTAAATCATATTCATATGATATCCCTTTCCACAAAAAGCTGATATCATCGTTTCCAAGCTTAAAGACCAATTAAAAAATTTAACAAATTCAATATTTAAAGATTAATATAAAACTTTAATACTTGGAGCAATGTAGACATGAATCTAGTTAAAAATGAATCATAGTTGAAAATAAAAAGTATCATTCTATTTTACCATGAATATTATATTTTTGAGCTATATACACATTATTTGTTTCTGACCAATTTTTTGTAAGATTTTCATTGTGGTTACTTATTAATAAAAACATATTTATGATTAATTGATTTCCCTCGAAGTTATAAAATATAGAGTATTCTGTGCTAAATTTTTTGTTGAGAATAGTGATCAGTGGGAGAAAACGGTAGACAAGATGTACCTCATTTTTGAAAGAAACTAGTTCCGCCAATTTTAGTACCTACCAACCATGACTTCTAGACTCATTTTTTTCAATCAAGATATAAAAGAGTCCCAAATAGAGAAAAAATATAATCGATATATGATAGGTTGGACAATCATAGTAAATACCAAGTTTATGATCATGAAGGTTATGATTACACATATTTTATAATATTTTACGGGCAATGTGTACATTGTCCGGTCAATGTGGTCCTGCCGGGGCAATTTAATCCACGAATTTTTTTTTAACCAACTAATATTATTTTTTATTATTATTATAAATTACAATCATTGCCTGTTTATAGTATTGATTTTTTTTTTTAAACAATCATCATTCATTTTATTCATGTATCATTATAATACAATAAACTATGCTTGTGTATACACTTATTTTTGTTACTTATCATACTGCCTATTTAAAAATCAAATGTAGAAAAGCCGACAGACTACAGAACTAAATACACTGACTTACAGAACCCATGCCCAAAAGTATATATATTTTTGTTTTTGGTATATTTTCTTTTCGATGTTATTTCCACAGATATTTTTTCCATCTGGTATTATTTCCTCTGGTACTTTTTCCACCGGGTATTATTTCCCCCGGGATATTATTTCCCCTTGGGGTATTATTTCCACCATAGTATTTACCGGGTATTTTTTCCAAGGTTATTTTTTCTTTTGGTATTTTTACCGATTACCACTGAAACAAACGTCAGGAATTCAGGTCGAAGGAAATTCTTACTGTCCATTCCCTCACCGGATTGTTACCTATCCGAACCATTAACCATACGATATACGAGACCTTATTATCGGTTAAACTGTCGAAAGTGAAATATAGAAATGTCATCAAAAAATCTCGCTTGAACACATTTTCTGTTCACAGAGCACACAACTATTAAAAATGCTTTAAAATTATTTCCACCCTTATATTATTATTATTACCAGCTATCATAGACGATACTGTGAATCAAGCACTGAAGCCGAGTATGAACAAGATTTTTTTGCAGATACTTACTTGCTTCTCCCATACATTTTATACTAAGATTTCCGTAGTCATAAATCAATAAATTTAATCTAACGAAAATACCAGCAAAAAAAGTGAATGAAATGTTTTCATAGGTTCAATATTTAATAGGCTCCAACCGGCAACCACTATGGTTGTATGCAGCGTACTAGGTAACATTTGGGTTGCATTTTATAGTTTGTCGTAATATAAATGACCTAAATTGGTCATATAGATTTGATCTCGATAGACTTTATTATCATTTAAATTGCTCACGGTTGAATCAAATAATTTTTGTTTTTGACTCCCGAGAAATAACCTACTGGCAGAAATGATATACAACGATAATTTTTTATGACTGTTTACAAACATTTTAATACTCGATATTATATTTGAATTACTCTTTGTGTTCCAAAAAACCAGTGCTAAAAATAAACTAATTTTGGATCCATTAGATATCTAGTGTGCCTGGGATAGAAGGATACAAACAATTACGATTTGCTTCGTATGTAGGCCTGTAGACGCACTTATGCCGGGCTACATAGTATACCGTATAATACTTACTACTATATTATGACACCTACATTACATTATACTTAATACTTCCTAATACCGGGTATCTGTATTCGTTTCGGACAGAGTACGCCACCGTCGGGTACATGGCAAAGAGGATACAGATGAGGAAAAATCGTTTTCTGGCCATACAGAAGATCGCCGAACAGAAGAAGGGTGGCCACGACACACTCGGTCACGGGCACTCGCATCAACAGCAGCGCTCAGGTCACGGCAACATGTCCGGTCACAATACTCTGTCCGGTCACAACACTCTTTCCGGCCACAATACCCTTTCCGGCCACAATACGGTGTCTCATGGCTTGTCGGGCCACGGCTTGCCACCTTCCCATGGGACAATGGCGGGCCATGGTGGATACGACAGCCACCGGCACAGTCACAGTGGCCACGGTGGTCACGGTGGCACCTTGCCGAGCCAAATCCTTTCTGGAGACATGGACCACTCGCACAGACAAACTGTGAGTATCGTTGTAATAAGTGATTTTTTGATCAGAATAATCTATGTTCTCGTTATGCCTGCCACTATATATATTAATATTTTATACCTCAGACAAGATTTGTCTGAAGGTTAAAAATCTAAATAGATTGATGCAGCGAGTAAAAAAAATGTATAAGATAAAAGAAGATAAAAATATCAAATTTCCTTTCACTATTTAAATTTACTTCAACACAGTGCAAGTAATATGTTTTATTACAAATTTAATAATTATTATATTTCAAAGCTATTATTTTTCTAATATAACTAATTGGTTAACACTATGATAAGTATGGTTATATTATGCTTGAGAATTGTATGTGTTCAATAAGATATATTGATTAAACTTAATGACCTTCTATTTTGAGATTAATATGCTCCGGTCAAATACACTAACTGCTTTAAAATAGAAAATTAAGAATGTGTCTAGTAGACTATAATTAGTATTGTGCTATGATTTCAGTTGTCATACTTCTTTCTTCGTATGAGGCTATTCATATAAACAATTAATGATGCATTTAAAATATTTTCTGCATCTTGTTTATGTACTTAAAATTGAACACAGATGATGCACCTTTTTACAAAAAAAAACACTCCAAAACATACGGTGAATATTTATCTCGAGGTTTACAATTATAGATTCTTCGAAATCATCGGTGTATAATATAAATTTTAGATCCATAATGGATCTTTTAATAGCACTTAATAAACCTAATGTAATCTTAGATAGAGTGAAAAAGTAAGATCGACCAATACTTGTTAAAAATATGTATAAACTCCTTTCGTGATTATTTTGTGTATTCAATTAAATTTAGAGGAAACACGTGATTATTATAAAGCTATAGTAAACATTTCTTCACAGTTTAATTGCTCAATGACTTATGAGTGAATATAATAGATCGCCAATCAAAACATAAGTTGCAGTGCCCCTTGTAAGTGATTCCCGTTTGTTCCAGGAGGTGCGATTCAAGGCCCACGATCCAAAGAACTACCTCAAGGGCGGATCGCTGGAGAACACCATCAATGGCCGCGGGGACGACGACTGCAACATCACCCCATTACCGCCGCAGCACGTCATGCACCCGAGCAAGGACATCAACAAGCTGTACGGCATCACGCCCAGCGACATCGACAAGTACTCGAGAATCGTGTTCCCGGTGTGCTTCGTTTGCTTCAACCTCATGTACTGGATCATCTACCTGCACATCAGTGACGTGGTGGCCGATGACCTGGTATTGCTCCAGGCGGACAAGTAGACCTATTCGCTGACTTTGTGTCGCAGCGACGACGATGACCCGATAATATAATATACTACAATAAAATATAACATTTTTATCTAGGTTTAGTATAAGAGCTCAACTACGAAAAATACTGCATCCCGAGTATATTAAATTATTATTATTATTATAGTAATTGTACGATTATAATATTATTATTATTAAGGGAATATTAGGGCAGAGAATTATATGACCTAAAAACCAACTAAATAATATTTATGATGATATGCCCTAAAAATTAACAAATTATGCCCAAAAATATGCTCTAAGAAAAAAGAAAATTCTAATGTAGTAATATGATATTTTAATACTAAAGTTTAATATCAAATTTTAATATCTAACTTTTTGAATACCTAGGTTTTTACCTAAAATATCTACTAATAAAAATGTGATCTTTAAAATAAAAATTATAAATGTCTAATGTCTAATATTAAAAAAAATGCACTAATTATTATAATTATTAATATTTCCTTGGAAAGCAGCTTTAAGTTTTACTTGTATTGAGTCTGAAAATCAAACATTATGTTTGTTATTTTCTTAAATGTAAAAAAATTATAACATTAAAATTTTAGTAGGTAGGTACATTGTTTCAGAAAAATCTAAATTATGCACCACATCCAAATTTAAAAGTGGATATTACCAGACGATTCCTATGTAGGAATAGTTTCCCATGTAACGTACAATATTATTCAGCCGGAAACACATTTTGGTATTCAACAACAATAACCAGCTAATTTTTTTTCTGACCAACCAATAAATTGATGTAAAAGCATACAAATAATATGTTCCCTGATGATAACTTCAAACTTAGGTCCATACACAATTTTCTTCTTTATTAATTTATTATATCTGCAGGGTCTTTCGCGTGATCAACACTCTATTTTATCGCTCCGACTATACACTATATAGCATAAACTCAACTCAACGAAATCCGTTTCTTAATAACCTATAACCGAAATAAATATCTAAAAACAAAAATATCGTCTCAGAAGATACTTCGAAATCCATCTTCCAAATGCGTATCGTCTTTAAAATAAAAAAACTTTTTTGCCGTGTAAAACTATAGTAAAACGAATACATGTATCATTATTATCTTTATAGGTACTACAACTGATTACAATTTATTCCCGTCTAACCTAACCATTCTACCATGATTGTCGTGATAATATTAATATTTATAATTGTATTACGATATTTTACAACGGCCAACCGACATTTCTTTTTTAAGCGAAATTATTATCGAGTGATTTGGACGATAAGCAGCGGATACGGATAGTCTCTCGAATTAAAATTTTAAATAGTATCAATATTATTATTACGACTTCGATGGTAATAGCTGTTGTCGCGTCAAGTATTCAGTTCGTTTTTCGCAAGTCGATAATATATTTATTGAAGTTATATTATATTTATATTATATTTTCGTAGCGACGTGATTTAATATATATAATTATACACTGCAGTGCTCAATCGTTGTTTTTATTTCCGATTTCGATTAGTAACACTAACACCTACTTACAATTACAATAATTATTATCATAATTTTCTATTCCTTCACGAAACGGTTATGGCTGGTTTATAATATATTTATCTGTGTGTTTATTCGGTGGCGTATTTACGATATGTCTTGTATTATGTGAGAGAGATGTCATTTCTCACCCCCTCTTTCCAATTACTATTTGAATTGGTTTACGATTCCACCCGAGTTTACGCCCTATATGCCTTACATTTTTAAGTCCTTAAAATTATATGCTTCCATTGCTTTGTGTAAATTCAAAAAACAATAAATGAATAACATTCTTATTTATGTAAATAAGAATTGTATGTTGTTATAAAAATGCGTATTTGTTTATTTTAAAATGTTAGTTTGTAGTTTGTACGGATTCAAATTACTACGATATTATTATAAACATTCCAAATTTCGATTGGAGCTTGAAAATATGTACTTAATTGTTTTTAAAACACGTTCCACCGACCGCTTCAAAAAGGTTCTAAATCCACGCTACTAGCTGTATATAATTTAGGTAGGTACATTATACAGGTAATATTATTATTAAATTACCAACACAGAAATGGATAAAAGTCGAACTTGACACAAAACACGCGCGTCATCTTGTTTAAAAAAAAATATTCATTTCGGTCACTTATTATTAATATTATTGTCATTGTAAAGTGTAGAACATTACAATGAATTTTATTTGAATACGATAGAAATGAAAACAATTATAAATTTAACCATTTATAGTGTTTTCAACTGGAAACAGAAAATATAAAAATCGAAAATAAACTTGTAAAATATTAAATATTACAAAACTAATTTAACGCCACTTTTACAGTATGACGTGTAAATATAAAATTAAATATTCAAAATGTATTATATTATATTATTGTATAACATAAACGTGATGATACTACACATAAATTATATAAAATAACATAGTCTACGTGTTTCGAAGTCGATTGCATTGTCAACAAATACAATATAATATAGCTCATTCGATTTTATAGCACGAGTCTCATCGATTATAATATTATAATACTATGCAATATTACAATACATGTATGTATATGGTAGATTATAATATTATCAAGAAAAAAATTAAACAAACTTTTGACAGTAATCAAATTCAATTATTATTATTAATGTAATATTATTTTTATTATTATTATTATCGTTTCATGTTATTGCGATTTTCATTTCAGCCTGTTAAAATGAACACGGTTTTGATTTCTTGAAATTATTTTTATAAACGACAAAACTATGTATATTATATTATATTATTATTATATAATTCGATTATTCAATGCGCGTGAACAAAAAAAAAACAAACAAAAACATTATTATATAATATTACAAAATAATAATGATAACAATAATATATTATTATGTTGTTATTCAATTGATCAATATTATATTCTAATACGGTTGTATTAAAAATACAAATCGAAGTTTTTTAGACGTAATCAATATGACGTATAATATTAGGACGGAATTATTTTTTTTGTACAACACTTTCAGTGATATCGTCGCGTGCCAATAACGCATCACAAGACCTGGCCCAGAAGTCCAGGCAATATATACGAGTATATTGTCATAGCCATGGTTTTTCTTCTTTCTTTTTTTTTTGGAGGGGGGTGACTCTTAGGATTCCGTATATGGTGTGTTTTGGTATGCTGATTCCAAGGGTATATAACATTTTGCAGCAACCTTCATAGTTAATATTTTATAGATACGTCTCACACAATACGTTCAAACAACACAGACCATTTTAAAATGCTTCTGAAATTTCTGAGAGGGCTACAGTGACCTCAGCCTCCCCCCACCATTTGCATAGTTACGTCACAAATTATGTAATATTGACTCCATAGGCGCAACTGAACCAACATTTCAGGGGGTCTTAAAATTGTCAACAACCGACTAATACTCAAAAAATCAATTAATTCTCATCCCATCATGCTCTTCTAAACATTAATTTAATTATTTAAGAAATCTACATATTTTTGTATGATATTCTCACAAACATATAGTCGTTAAAAATGTAAACTGTTGTAATTATTGTTATTATCAAAGCGTTATATACGACGAAGTAATAAAATATTTCTTAACAAAAAATAATGAATTTGAATAATCGATCACTACACTTATTAATATTGAATATGTATGTAAAAATTAAAAATTATGGCTTGGATTTTTTGTGGTGCTAAAGACACGTTGCAGCCCTTTAGTTGTGCCTATGATTGACTCCACGCCGTGCGATATATATCATATTATGTGTACGATACCGTCATTGAAGCCTCGATTTTCTGTTGTCACGAAAATGTATCGCATATGCAACTCCACGTCCGTTTCCTATAAATTTAACCTATTTAAAAACATTCAAAACTATTCAAACAATAACGATAAAACATGAAAACGGTTGAAGTACATATTTATAATCGTAAAGGACATAACAGTGGCGAATCATTTAGTATACCTATTATATTAAAATAACATTGTTTGTATACGCTATAATGTAGGTAGGTATATTATTCTAACTCCATAGACGACATCACTATAACATTGTTATTATTTATTATTATTATTACTATAACCGCTATAGGCCTATGCGATTTGATTTATTTTACGTACACTTTTTAAAAGCACTTTCAACTAATAATTGTGATTCGCACATTTTAACGATATTAAAAATTAAAAATTAATAAAATATCAAAACAATGCCGCATGTTAGAATGTGTAATAAGCATAATTTATACGTTTGTACGTGCGTCGTATATATTATATATTTACGTCTTGACGTAAAAAAAAAATTTGACTTCCTTAGAATTAATAACGTATAAAAATAACAATAATAATATTATAATACAAATTAATTAAACGATAAACGGTAGTTGTTTTAAAATGTACAAATAACTACCATCGGATATTCTAAATCTTGTATTAGGTTAATGTGAATCTATAAGAAAAAATATTGTTATAATTTTAAGTTTGTAAGTGTAGTTTATTGTCACGAGATGTTTTTGTGTTTCATTCCGATTAAAATTATTAATGTTTATTATATTATATTATTATTAATTATTATTATTTATATTATTATTACCTTGTTTTTACTTGTTTACCACCCGTTTGTATTCGCTGTTAGACGAAACGTAATATTTTATTAAAATTATAATATTACGTTTAACCCTAGTGAAAAAAAATTGTGTCGATGAGAAACAAAAACACTATAAGGTACTAATTATTATTATTATTATTATCTATTTGGGTGCTTCCGTTCTTTGTGTTAGCAAACTTAATAAATATATATATATATATAATATATTATGTAAAACGACATACATGTACTTATACGCTTACACATATTTATTGAAAGCATATTATTGTATGCATGTGTTTATATGTGTACACGTATATAGTATTATATTATGTATATTATTATTTTTGTTTATATTGTTTACGTGTCGGTAATATTATTTTAAGTTATACATAATATAAAATATAAATGTATAATAATATAATATATACGTTTAAGTACTATATAATTACATATAATAATATGTATATCTGCAGTGTACGATAAATTATAGTCTACTAAATCTCACTGAGCTCAATAAATAAAGTGAAGCGAACCAAAACGCTGCCACGAGCGAGCAAGTGTTTTTCTTTGCGTCGTTGTCGTCGCTGTTCCTTTTACCCTACAATGACTACAATGATTATAATATGTTATCAATATTATATCCATAAAGCCACAAATCGTAGATGTGCTATGAGAAAGGGTATCAGCTGTATGGATCCT